CTATCGTTTTTTGTTTTTTGTTTTTCAGTGGAAGTTGAGAACCTGAAACGACAGACTTTATACGCAGTAACTCACTTTGGTGTACAGTACAGTATGGATTGAAGCGAGAAAAATCAATAGAATATCATCTAGAAAGATAGTAATGGATTTCTAACTTAATGGGCTCACACAGGTCTATCGATTAGCAGGATTAACATCTGCAATACCTCAACAATCTGATTTGCATTTAAATTACTGTACGCTCTGTGCTGACACCAATATAACAAAAACAGACAAATGTATAGCCGGTCGCAGCGGCTCTCAATTAAGGTCTGACTTTAGTATAAATCTTCCTTTTCAAAAAAAAAAAAAAAGAAGAAAAGCAAGAAGTATATGAAAGGAAAGTTGCTGTCCCAACAGCTTGCAAACTTTGAGCAGTTTTAAATTTTGAAAAAGTCTCGACAAGGACAAAAAAGAAGGAACATAAACACGAAGGGACTCGGCTTGAAGCTGTCTCCTGTAAGACTGAAACAGCCATAACTCTTTTGGGGCAGCTCATCTGAGCCTCCCCGCTTAGATCCTGGTGAGGAAGCAGGGCGGGTGGAGAAACAGTGTGAGTGTTGAGTGCAGTGAGATGTTGGGAGGGCAGCGAGGTGGGGTGGGAGTTTGATGGACTGCGCTGTCACCTCCCGCTCGGCGATTTACGGCGGCGGGGCTGCTGACGAGCGCGGGGCAGTAAACAGGCCGGCCGGGGGCGTATTTCACAGAGAGCTGGCTTTTATGAAGAACACCAGGACGGCTCTACCCACAGCTCCGCCCGGCCCGCCGTGACGGATGGAGAAAGACGCATGACAAGCTTCATCATTGTTTGTAAATCTTAACTGTTCCCGCTCACTAACTCCAGAAGGCAATTTTGCGGAGACAGCGGGGCTCTGCAGAGGGGGAGGGCGGAGAGGGGGGAGGAGGAGAGGAGGGAGGGGAAAGGACAGCGTGGCACTCCTGAAGGTTATTTGGATCTCTGTATTTGGCCAACTGATTAGCCCTATCCTAGGAGGGAGATAAATCTGACAGGGCGGTGTTTGGCAGCCAGGTAGAAGGGGAGGGCAGGTAGGCTCAGAGCTCACAGATATCCCCTCCTCCTGGACTGAGCCGAGGGAACACAACATGTTCGGTCAAAGCGAAACAATTTAAGGCTTAAAAGGAGACGTGGCTGGATTTTGATGCACTGAAGCAAATGGCAAAGTAAATCCACAACTAGGACAAATCCTGTGTATTACCTTACCGTCCTTACATAAGCTGTTTTGGTGATGTGGGGCATGGGCCTGCAACTTTTCTATTATCAATGAATCTGTGAAGAACTGATAATCAATTGTTTAAGTAATATAATTCCAGTTTCTCAAACTTGAATACTTGCAGGTTTTCTCATGTTCAGTGATAGTAAACGTTTAGTCAGACAGAATGATTTCAAGACATCGCCGCGTGCAATGGGAACTTTTGACCGATATTTATTAGTTCCTCACATCTTATAAACTAAATGATAATTCTGAGTACGGCTGAGTGTGTAACCTCCTTTAAGACATACTTTTATCTGAGACCTTTTCCTGGTTTTACTTTCACTTGAATTGTTTTATTTCTCTTAAAATTACTTAAAAGTTTGATTGTTTGTTTTTCTTCTCTTTGAAATCTATTGATTTTATTGATGCTATTATTTCTGCACTGTGTAATGTAGTGTAGAAAAGTGCTCTATAAATAAAGATTATTATTATTATTATCATTATTACTCGAGGAGATAATCAGTTGATTCATTGATAATGAAAATGACCATTAGTTGTGAAGGTATTTCACATGTGAGGAGCTACAACCAGAGAATGTTTGGTAATTTTGCATGAAAGCAAAAAGTTTTCTGCTGCTTCACTATTCAATTAAACACTAAACTAATTATTTCAGCCCCAATTGGAAATAAGAGCAGCTCATTGTGAAATACAGTCATTCAGAACCAAACTCAAACACACAATTGTCCCCTACAGGCAGAGAGCTAGACTCAACTGTTTCACACGTGACATCTTAGACGCAGAGGTTCTTACTCTTCTCTAGTAACAGGGTTATTAGCTGTTTAGAAATGACACTCACCCACACACTGGGTTTGGCAGTGGTTGTGCCAAATGTTTAGACTGGCTCTTTGACAAAAAAAAAAAAAAAATTATCAAAATTGTAATATGGCGGAGTAAAAATGGGTCACAACAGGCCATAAATGAAGCATTGTGGTGCTACAGAGATGCCCCTGCCTACAGATCATATTGTCCAGTTGTAAAGGAACATGTTTGTTTGGAACAAGCCCCAACAAAAATCTTTTTTCCAGTGAAAAGGAAATGCAAAAATGACCACTCCTACTGAATCTGTGACTCATAAGGCAATATCTGCCAAAATAATCACAATATGATTTTCTTTTGCATGTTGTTCAGCCTTATTTTACTTCCCCACAGAGGCTTCAGATCAACCTATCATCAGCTTTGATAATGGAAACAACAGCAGCTAAAAACAGATTCCCAAAGACAAGAATTCCACCTTGTTTTCAAAGACGGTTTTCGAAGACAGTAACTTCAACAGTCAGTCTATATGGGAAAAGTCCTGGACACCGCTTCTGCAGTATCTTAAGGCAAAATGACTGTGGCCTGACTTAAGGCTTTCTGATACCTGTTTATCATTTATTATTTTTTCATTGAAATTTATACTTGTCACTCTTTGATTGAATATAAAAAAAATATGCCACCTGTGACGAGATGTTGCACATGGATATTTCTTCACTGTGAGGGACGAATCACAAGACAAAAAAAAGTTGAAAACCTCTGATTTAGGGGGGTTTGTTTCTCTGCTGCAGGAGTTTGTGTCACCACCAAATGCCAGACCACCCGCTGAGAGCGTTGTGTTCCTGTAATGGAGCATGGCAGTTCACGGGAGGAGGCTGACATGGGACCCTCACAGGAAAAGGACAGGTGAAAGTCATAAACAAATACAGGTACAAGGGGAGATGCGGGGGTCTTTAGGTTTGCGATGCTGGTGGTGTCGGCAGTCTATTTCACTAAAAGAAGGATGTTGATGTTGTACAAAGGACACTCTTCCCCTATGTCCTCTCTAAATGAGTTATAATATACAATACGATTTTGTTATGGAAAACCAAACACTTCATCTTTTAATTCCTGAAAGAAAATGACGTCTTTGTTCTAGTCGCAGGTGTAAAACAAAAACTGAGCTGGCTGGTGCTGGAAGATAACGGACCAAAACTAGTATTAAATACTTTTTGATCTTGTTTTTTGCTAAGTTGATTATATTTTCGTGCAGCATAAGATAACTGCAAATTAGCTGCACAAAACCTCTTTTCCAAACAGCACTGAGAACAAAAGGAGACTTGTAATAACTAACAGGATCTGCCTTGTGTCAATCACAACCACAACCAGGTAGAGAGCTGGTTCATAAATGAAATGTAAAGCTTGATTTTATAGTTACCACTTCAAAAAGCTGAGTGGTATCTCTGCACACCTGAATGTGTGACAGGTGCATCGGAGGGCAGCACACCTTGAGTAAAGGTGAAGAAACTGCTGCATCACATGGTGCTGGTATCTTCAGCATTTCAGGTATATGAACACGCCTACAGATACATAGATACTCTGAAAATTAGCCGACTACAGGACTACAATAATCAGGTCTAGTATTCTTAAAAACAGAAAGTGCCAATAGTCATTATAAACTGGAATCTTAAAATTTCATCTTACATAAGTAAACACAGTCAAAATAATGGCTCCAGACTGAACTGGGGCTTGAAATTGTTGCAGAAAGAACAGGACAGTTTGTGTGAGCAGTGATTTCCACCGAGGCTGCACAGACAAAGAAAAGAGCGACGCCTACAGACTTTTTAAACTTAATCTCCCTCACACTGTTTGACCTGCTGCAGATCTGGGGCCTGTTTCAGTTGTATTTGCAACATGCAAACTGTGATTTGTACGATTCGATATTTTTTTTTTCCCCACACAAAATGCCTTACAGTACTTGCAACACATACATGTGCAAGATTCCTCTGGAATTAGCAATTTTATCTGCAGTTTGTGAGTGACAATCCTTTGTGAAACAGTAAGCCATCGCTGGTGATTTGTGCTTACAAAACACTGTCTCACATAACTGCAATTTAAAACTTATTTATCCTTCCTGATGTGCACTAAAACGTGGAAAAGAAGGTTTAAACTGCAAGTAATGTTCAGTTTGAACAGGCATGCCAGTTAGCCCAGTATCCTCCTACTGGATCTTCCCTCTTATCTCTCTCTCATCGTGCACTTACATGCGTTCTTTGCAAAGTTCCACAAATACTTTCCTGAAAACATTACGCAATTCACACAATCTGATTTACCCACATTCACAGATTCTGAGGAAGGCAAAAATCCAGGCAACCACAGTCAGCAGCCACGCTCAGCTGAGATCACTATCTGAGATCGGTGGCGTGGAGTGCCAGAAATCTACTGCTGCATGGTCAGAGATCAGATGTAATTCATCCTTAAACGCAGCAAAAAGAAACACAGCTGCACTGTCACGTCTTTGGCAGTTTTGTGGTTGTTTCAAAATTGATTACTTTAATTATAGCCGATAGATGTTTGTTTTTTTAATTTCCACTGAATGTAAATGACAAACAGTTAAGGCTGAGTGGGTGAGCATCATTTGGAATCATGAATTTAACTCAGGCCGATAAACACAGGTGTGTATTTTAGGTGAAGTACAAAGTAAAAGTCTAGTAAAAGGTAAAAAAGCTTCACTTCCGACTAATTTCATCTTCTAGATTTTATGGCACTCTTGACTTGAGTGCAATCCTCCCTTGAATGTACTTAACCACAATGTTGATAAAGTCTGGGTAAAACTTTATGGGGCCTGAGAGGTGTGTGTGTGTGTGTGTGTGTGTGTGTGTGTGTGTGTGTGTGTGTGTGTGTGTCTGTGTCTGTGTCTGTGTCTGTGTCTGTGTCTGTGTGTGTGTCACTCACAGGCTGCCATGGTTTCAGAGCAATTGTTGTTGTTGTTGTTGTTGTTGTTGTAACTGTTGTCCTCCAGGCTGAAGAGGGGCGGCACACAGGTGGAGGAGCCCAGGCCCTGAGTCAGGTAGGTGGCTGCTGGGTAGTAGGAATGCATGCGGTACGGAGAGGACATGTTGTGGCCGGACAGGCGGCCATCACCATGTGGCATCTGCTTCATATAACAAAAGACAAACAGGCCATTTCACAAACAAAGTAATATTAATACAATATTCTGTATTTCAAGACCTTCTTAAAACCACCAAAGACTCCATTCCTATTAGGTTTTGATTAATCTACTCGGGTGTTTTAATAATGAAAGCACACTAATGATTATGTTCATTATCAAGTCTGATGATTATTTTTCTATTTCTTGTTTTGTCTGACCAATAGCTGAAAATATTAAATGTAATATCACATATGAAGCCGCAAATCCAATTTCAGAAACTGGATGTAGAGACTGTTTGGCATTTTTGCATGAAAAATTACTTTAATCAATCAGTTACAAAAATAATTGCCAATCAGTTTTCTGTCTTTCATTCAGTCTGTCGTGCCAAAATCCCTCAGTTTGCTTCAAATACTGTGGGAAAGTTCTGCTGTGTTTAATCATGTGATGGTGAGGTAATGCTTGTGATCACAAGAAGCCACAAAAACAATCACAGCAGAGGAAAGTATGAGAAAAGACGCTGGCATCAATTTTTCAAATTAAAAACCGGCTGTTTGTACAATGTCCTTCTTCACTGTCTACGGTGTTTACACTGTCTCTGCTTCAAAGTGGACAGCTGAGCAAAATGAGTGACGAATGCTGGAGCAAAAAAGACTAACAGATCTTGCCTATGAGCCTTCTCCTACGTCGGCCATTCGTTGCCTAGAAGCTACATTTTAATCTCTGCGGGAACACACTCAATCATCAGCAAGATAATACAAGTTATAACTCCTGACTTCATCTGTTACTATGTCCTTGAAGCCTTTTTTTTTTCCATTTCCAAATCATGATGTAATTTTACAAACATTCATATTTTCGACGAATATAAAAATATCAAATGACTTCTACTTTCTACGTTTGATATTTTCAAACACAATAAAAACAGCATCGCTCTGTGACCCCTCTCACGAACGATTCAGTCGTCAGATATTCACAGGCTACACCTTAACCACCTAAACTGACAAGAAGAAATACAGACATAAAATAATATGTGACAGAAAATTAGTGGTGTTTGATTTCACAGGTCCCTGACTTGTTCTAAAAACAGGCTGCAACACAGCGCTGCCTTTCTACAGTCCACTGAAAACTTTAAAATGAGCTGTCTACTCAGCAGCAGTGCCGCCTCACGGAGGGTTTTCAATTTCACTTTTATGGAATTTGATTTCTGTCAGCCTGTAATATGTCACCCGTATTGTCCACACCATCAATTCTCCGACAGCTTTATAAACTGTTATTTAAGCTACACTCAGCTCTTGTATTAGGCTGTGAAAAATACAATAGAGATTGGACTGGAGTCTTGAAAGTGCACTAAGCTTACGCTTTTGCAGGACACATACAGCGCCAAACAAAAGTGTCTTAGTAAAAGTTGCTCACAAAAAGAAAAACAAGTTTCATCATGCTTACAGATCCACACAGACTAACTTACCTAAACTGTCAATGAGATGCCATATAAATAGTTATGGAATTATAAACCTTTCTCTATGTATACTGGTGGGGTGACTTCATTCAGTCAGTACAAGAACATTTTCAGTCTGAGTTATCTAACCAGTCACATGATGACAGACGTACTTTCAGTGTAAACTAGTTGTGTTCTGTGAAAATTAGAGTCAAGGTTCAAGGTCTAAGGAAATCTTTATCATCGCCGAGGGGCAATTATCACAGCTAGCAATAAATAAATACAGTAAATACAATAATCACACGCACCAACCTACAATCAAACAATTTACATAAAAGACAAAGACTTACATAAGACTGACATCTGCTGCTGAGATTAGTTGAGCAGGCCTTTTGCATTCAGTACAGGATGATTCATTCAGTGTGTAATTTTGAATTTTCATGTCAAATAATATCCCAAATGTTTCTTTTGTTCTAGTACCAGTTTTCTTGTTTTCCTGGACAGACTCACTTCCAGGCAGGAGATGGATTTACCAATCCCCTTGCCTGATACTCAAGTCTGCAAAACGTATTATTGGGATCTAGAATGTGTGTGTGTCAACTGTAACACCTAACCCCATAGTAATGTTTAGTTTTTAAGGTTAGACTGTGAGTGAGACTCAGAGACTGTGGGATTTAGCTTCACAATAACGTTGGTTGTTGTGCGCAAAGTTTTGTTGACATATTGCTTCTTGTTTTCTTTCACATTACTTTTTGACCACATGAACGGCCTACGAGCCGCTGTCTAGTGGTTTTCAAAATAAATGAAAAGGAAATTCAATCTCGTGTTTCTCCCACTGTACCAAAATCATACTGAACAGTGACCCCACAACCAAGCTGAACCATAACTTTTGTGAACACTCAGTATCAACAGAGTTAGCATTTAAGTGTGTGTAGTGTAATTTATGCTCCTCCCTACAGTCCCTACCCTCTTTCTAGACTCATTTCATCAAGGCAGAAACATCATATCTGACAGCACATCAGCAGCTTTGAGATAAATCCCAAGAGGCTTTCTATTCTACACAAGAAACACATTGGCTGTCAGAAACATAAATGACCTAAAAATAAAAAAAAAATGACATGTCCAGAGGTGATGGACATAGCAGGTTGTGGACAGAAAGTCATTACTGACAGCAGTGACATAATTTAAAGGAGGAATAACACTACAGGAGCTTTTTTTTTTGCTGTAATTGAAAAATTTAAAATCTGAAAACACAGGCAGGTAATATTTTTTCTTTGCCACACATCTACGCATCAGCTCCCTGGCTAACTTGGCTGACTCCTGGGGGGGTCTTCCTTACCTCCCTGAGAGGGCCTGTCTCCTTATCTGGCACCATCTCCTGTCTGGAAGCTCTACACCACCCTTATATTATCACCATGCACCTGCATGACAGCCAAGCACCACTGAGCGCACAGGAGAGGAGGAGGTAGATGACCTTACACTGATAAACACCACTGTGTTTCCTTGTGGGCTCTGATTTAGCAGTGAGAAGACGTACAGATCACTATATTAGATTAGCTTGATGAATTAAAGGAAATTAGTATTTTACAGCACCTTTTTGCAGATGATTTCAATGATGCTGACTGAGGAAAATAAACTACTTGATTAAATCCTATGTACTTACTGCAAAACGTCAACTAGGAAGGAAACTGCTATAGTAATAAATTAGATTTTGCCAGAAGGAGTGTGTGTGTCTAAGATGTAACTTAGCAGTAAAATACAAAGATAGAACTGATAACAACAATTTTTAGATAAATAAATGTACATTATGACACAATTGAAGACTGTAACAACTCAACTTGTAAGAAATATCTGCACACCACTGGCATGACACCAGCATGGGGCTCTTCTTGATATATACATTTAAATAATAACATTTTTAAAAAGATTTAAAATACCCTTCCACCAGATGTTGTGATGTTACGATGGAGAAAAGAGCAACACCTTCAGAAACTAACTAAATGAATGAAAGTCCATGACAAGAGACGTCACAGCCCAACACTGTCTGACTGACAAGTGCTTTCTGGGTAGTGCAGAAAAAAGCACAGTGATAAGCGCTTTGCAGTAAATATAGAGACAAAATCAAAATTGAGAAACTCAAGGATAATCACTTCAGTTGGGGATGTTAAAACTGGAGTATAGCACATTAAACCGTGGAGGTTTAGGACAGGTAAAGGAGACAGAGGAGACAAAAGAGAAAAGCTCGGTGATAACAAACCATGATTAACTACTGCTTTGATTTCTAAAAAAATGATCCCATCACTTTTAGTCATTATGACAATGAATCTCTAGTTACTAAATTGTGCATCTGTGTATTTGAGACTCATCTTCAAATAATCAGCTTGCTTCATGCAGATAAATAAAAAGTGGTCCCTGAATTTGAATAACCGTAGCACGTAGCCCTCTCAACCTGACAACTTCACTGAGAATATCATAAATCACAAAGGAGGATGGCTAAATTATGCTAAAGAGTGCTAACTGATTAGCATTAATGTGCTCACTTTCTCCCTCGAGCGCTCAGGCATGGCGGTTTTTTTTTTCCTGAGCCGACAGACAATACCATTAACCTTTGCAATTCAGGCTCTGCTGTGCGCTGGCAGGTTAGCGGAGGCAGTGACCCCAAAACTAGATGTTGCTATTGGGGGAATCGAGGTGGGGGGTGGAGGTGGGGTGGGGGAGGTGGGGGGGGTGGACAAACGTTCTTCATAAAAAAACAAACCACCTCCTCAGAGAACACCGAAGAGTTATAGATCTAATTTGTTTCACGCACAAGCTCATCTCATTTGACACAATAGAGATACATTTGAGCATAAATCAGTGTGAATATACAGATAGGTGAATGAAGGACCGTGTGTGTGTGTGTATGTGTGTGTGTGTGTGTGTGTGTGTGTGTGTGTGTGTGTGTGTGTGTGTGTGTGTGTGTTGGTGGGATGTTCAGAACTATCTCCCCCATGTGTCCTACGTTATACTGTAAGTGTCGACATTAAAGCAGATGCTCTCATCCATCTCTGAGGAAAACAAAGAAATAAAACTTTGTATAAATCACAACCAGATGCAAAGAAAATTAACTTCACACAGGTACCAGGAGCACCTGCGCTGTGTTACATCACTGTCATATATACGTTTGTATGTATGTATATAGTATGCGTATATGTATGTATATAGAGAGAAAGAATTTGCTTCTATTCAGGGTTTCAGGGCAAAGATCAGGGGCAAAATCAGGGAATAAGCTGAAACGAGAAACCAATTAATATATTTGTCAATTAACAAAACATTAATATTTATTTTTATATATATTATACTTCAGTTTCTCAAATGTGCTGATTTATTTTGCTGATTTTCTTTTACATTTTAAGATTACTTTGGATTGTGGGTTCAATTTTTTACTTTTTCATACTAAATTAATTAACAAAAATAATAGTTTAACCCGATAACAATTGTTACTCACAACCCTAAATGTGTTCAGATCATGTTTTTGTGCACTTTCACTTTGACAGAGACAGTCAGGAAACATGGAGAAAGTGAGAGGTTTGACATGCAACAAAGGTGGAGCCAAACCAGTAATGTTACAGTCACATTCAGGGTATATGCACTTAGGCACCACTGGTTTCACTGGTGAGAGTTAACTGGTATGCAACGTGAACCAGAAGTATTTGGCTCAACTGTGTGACACCTGTCAACCAATCTGAATACACTACAGCAGTTTGATATACAGTCAAAATGAAACCAAAACGTCCAGGTTCTGTTCAAGAAGCAACAGAACCTCATTTAAAATACCACTGACACTAACAACTAAAAACCACTAATACACAAAACTAACAGAGCCTCTCTCAACACTATGTCATGTGGTTCGATTCATGTGTTTAGATGAGGACTTTCTTTTTAATATAGCAGAAAGATTACAAGTTTAAAATAGTTGAGAGGGTTGGAGAATTTTATGAATATGGACAAAGCCGTGTTGTACCGTGTTGTTTTTTTTTCTGTGCTCAATACGAAATCATCCCAAGGTCTTCAGTTTCTAAAAGCAACAGCTGTAGTGGATACTGATTTCACACCCCAAAAACACAGTCCTTTTATCTTTTTTTTCCAGAAAGACAGATGAGAGATGCAAGAGATGCGGACTGGGAGACTGCACTGAGCTACAGAAGCCAGAGGAACAGAGGCTGGCCCGAACGTGACATTATGACTTTGGCTCTCTACATACACAACCAGGTACGACAGCAACCTTGTACTGCATGAATGTGAAAGTCGTTGCGGAGCCAGGTGGCATTGTGTCCATTCAATTTTCCCTCCCTGAAATGTACAACACAGGATCGAAATTTGCTTTTATAGCTTCACAGGAAAATGTTTTCTTTCTTTAGATCTCAACTCAAATGTTACCTCAGTAGTTTCAGCTTGCTTGCTCTCATCATTAGACACAATCGGTTTTGATGTGATATCCACACAGTTCAGTTCATGTCTGACTGACATGCGTTTCATACTATTTTGACAGTTGTGTGATAAGAAAATGAACCTTTTTCATGTTGAGGTGACTCGTAGCTAAGCAGCTTATCTCCTCTTTCTGTGGCATGAAGCAGCTTTCCTCTCCCAACATGCACACACACACACACACACACACACACACAAACGCACACGATCACACACAAATTAATCTATTTTAACGTATAGCAGCGAGACTTTCAGCTCTATTCTGTAACTCTCGATGACTAATGACTCGTGTGACTGGTCACCAGCTGAATCCTAAATCTTTCAGTCGGTCTAACCACTACAATCTGAGCCATGACAGATGATCTCATACAAAAGTTACTCATTTTTCTTTTAAATGCTGCTATTTTACAGTGCTGGCTGATAAGTTATCAAGTATTTACCGAGCATATTACTTTTACTATGATGGGAGGAACTTTTCTGACTTCACCAATGGAAAAACTGGATGAAAAAGTTGCAAAAAAAGCTTCATTTGCTTTCTGTACATTTAAAGAAAATGCTTGGTAATGATTTCGTAAAGTAATTTTTCTTTTAATGTAACAAATCCTGGACTGATTTTTTATTTACTGTCTCATAATGCTCTAAATGCTGCTTCAGGGGCTCTTCCACCATGACAACAATAATGTTATGCTAAATTGTGTCTTGAAATTTAAATGTAAATGTGAATTACATTAAATATAAGCATATTAAATACAAAAATATCAATATAATTTACCAACCTTGAAACCCGCACAACAGGTGAACCCTATTTACAGTCATTTTGGACATAACAGAGGAGAATATAAATAAGATTATGAATTGCAATGTAGCTTGAAGCATGAACACACCCCATCTTCCCCTGAGGCAAGCCAAGGTAAACACACATTGCAGGTAACCACTGAGCAAGACCAGTATCAACGATTTCCATAAGATACCATCACGAAGGTTAACACCGCTGTAGAATACCTACCATAACCTTATAAAAGGGCTTTTCAATACAAGTGAAGTGCTACTGGTTAACAGCAGGGTGGTTATTGTTAGTCACCTGGTATTGCTGGTAGTTGTAGAGGTTGCTGTAGTAGGCGGGGTAACGTGGAGGCTGGTAGAAATTATAATAGGAGGTTTCCATCAGCAGGTCGGACGCTCCCTCGGTGTGAGCCCTGGCAGCGGCTGACGGGCTGGAGGAGGATGCCGAGCGACTCCCTGGACCACAACACACAGAGAGGACACAACAAATAAGACAAAGATCAGTCCACAGGATGAATGATGATGTTTGTGGCTGTGTGATCGTTACTGCATTTGAAATATGAAGATTAGGATATATTGTGCACTAGTTTTTGTTTTGTTACAACTTATATGATGCAAAGCTGTAAATGTAAGCATGTTTTCAGATCCATGCATCCAGCAGCAGATGATCTTACACACTAATTTATTCCAGCTACAGACGTTAACTAGACATATTAATTGAACTTTACAAGATTTTTCTAGTCATGCCACCCCTACCTCAAACTACTATCAACAGCACCATCTGCAGGTGACATCTGTACCTACCACAACACACCATCTTAATACAGAAATGTGTTTTGCCCCCATCAGGACAAATAAGACTGTAAAATCATCATTACTCATTATCTGTTGTACTTTCCTTATCAGCAAGGCCACATTCTTCTCAGGCAGACCCTGATCTTTTGGCCTTACACAATGAAGACACTGTGCACCACTGAACCCAAAGATAATGACATTCGTTGTCCCCTGTTCTAATTCTTTTCATCAGTGAATCACGGAGTGCTCAACTCCTTTTTTTCCACAGTGTTTTTTTCTCTGTTGCCAAGCCAGGGACCCAAAGTTCAGTGTTTCACACAGACAAAGCCGAGTCAGAGCAGGACACGAGCAGCCTTGACCAGTCATATTACACCTCCTGGAAAGTGCTATCAGGCCGAGAGGGAACACGGTATCTCTGTCTGCCTCCACACGACAAGAAAGAAAGGAAGGATGCCTCTTCATGCTGCTGTCATCAAATCAAATTTCATTTTCATGTAGTTTCCCATGACAATGTTTCTTATTGACGGTGCCTATAAAAGCATTCTTGTCCTGTGGACTGTTTTACACAAACAGAAAATGACTCATTAATGTCATAGTAATTCAGTTTAAGAATGAATATAACACAGAAAATAATTGATTGAACAGAATATGGCTTTGCTGCCTGTTGAACTGCTTCTTTTCTTTTCTTTTCTTTTGCAATTTCAGTAAACAGTCATTGAAATTTTCTAAAATCCAAATGATGAAAACAATCTTCTGAATTTTGAAAGTTGTTGTTGTTTACTGAGAAGTCAATTTGATAGACTTTGCATAATTTGAGAGAATTAGAGGAGTATCCAGAAGCAGGTCAGCTGCTGACCGGATTGAAAATTACCAGACCACATTCTGTAAAAGTGGTAAAAGTTTCCCACATTTCAAATTAAGTCTACAATTGCCTGTTTATCAAAACAGACCCTAAAACCAAGGCCTTTACATAAAATCTGACTTAGGAACTGATTGTGAATGTATATGTTATGTACTGATTTCACTTTTCCATGCAGTACCACCCCTCATCCCCACTGAGTTAGTTAATATATACACTGCTTTTCTTCATTTCAGCCTTCCACACTTGTGTTTTTCCATGTTTTTCCCATGTGAATGTTCAGTGGCAGATGCTGACTGTTGTGTGTTTGCATTCATGTGCATACCCACAACTACCCACTACTACTTTATTTAGTAATATTTTGGATGTTACCACATATTTTCTCGTTACTTTCCAGAGCTGATGTTTGGACACAGTGACTTCAGTGTGTGGTGGAACAGCTGGCAATGCCTCACCTGTGACAGCAACAGCAGAAGTGGAGATGCTGGTGGGTGTCAGGGATCGTCCCTCCACAGAGAACAGGCAGTCCGCTCCAGCTTCATTCTTCACTAGCACCTCAGGGACCGACAGAGTCATCGGACTACAAATCCCAAGCTCCTCCTCCTGAGCCTGCTGCCTCCTCAAGGCGACCTGGAAGGGAGGAAAAGAAAGGCCTGATAAGGGATTGTTTGGCATAAAACAAACAGTTTCTTGAGGGTCAACTGACTTTAAAGAACAGACTCAGTATCTGCTTGCTACAAAATAATAACTTGATGCAATGAGAAAATGATTACAATTGTACAAAGATAAATCATTGGTATAACATAAGAAAACTATGTAAATATTTACTGTAGACTTATGAATAAGTTGCCTTGACCACTACACTGATTTCATGCATTTTTTTCGATTTGACTGCTGGATTGCTGACTGTAACTTTTCAAAATAAATGACGAATGATTAATGTCGTTATCGATTAAATTACTTAAACAGTGATTATAATTGATTATTTATCTGTCGATTGACAGTTCTATTATTGTTGTCTTGTGACTAGCTAAAGTTGTGTTTTGCCCCTGTGTGTTATGATTATTTACATTGTTTATTATTATCTTACAATACAAAGCAGTGTCTGTATTAAATGGACAGGACTGACGCCACATTTATATCATGTTATTGCTATGTCTATGTCTACCATTACAACACTGTAAAAGAAAATCAATTCATTATATTATATTATGGTGCTGTCATTTTATATACATGGTGTTTTTATCTATTTTATATCATTGTAAATTGTATCTCATGGGGTTCGAAGCAATTTGAATAAGTACCACTGGGCTTTGGGAAATTCTGATGAGCGATGAGCATTTTTCTGACATTTTCTAGACCAATTCATATGGATAACTTGGCAGATTAAAAGATAATGGAAATACATAACATAATATAGTCATATCTTTGTTTTAGTTTTATTATGAGTATTCTAGATTTGTAATTATTTGTTTGTTTTGTGATTGATTTGACTATCTATCTATCTATCTATCTATCATTGTGTTTGCTTCATGCCGTAGTTTTAAAATGTATAGTTTAGAGCTGCAAGGATTAGTTGATTAATCAATTAGTCTATCATCAGGAAATCTATTTTACATAATGTTTAACAGTTGATTTAGCTTTTCTTTTTTTATTCTAGCAAAAATTACAAATATTTTATGGTGCCTGCTTCTCAAATCTGAACATTTGAATCATTACTTTATTGCACATTAGATTAGTTTTGGACTTCAGCATTTAAAGATGTTACATTTTATGATGCATTTTATGAACAAAAACTATTCGCTGATTCATCTAGAAAATAACCCACGGATCAATCAATAGTGAAAGTAACGTTTAATGTAGTTGCAGCTTTTGTGTTAATCTCAAAACTGAAAGCAGTGAGCGTATCTAAAATTACTGTTTTACAAACCACACACGTTACTTCAAGCTACAAAGTGCAAAGTTACAAAGTAAATGACTATAAAATATGAAAAAGTAGCTGTTTTATATACTGTAGCCTAATTGTTTATTAATTTCTATTATCAAACTGTATTTTGAGTGCAACAGGTTTAACAAAACACACTTAAAACACATATTAATTGTATACAAATTCAAGCTAGCTGTGTGTAAACTAAGCTACAGCTAGGTTGACTTTTTCAGTTGTTCTGCCTTTAGTACACAAATGAAAATGAGGGAAAACATTTAGAGTAAACTTGTCCACAGCGTTTAAAAAGAGTATAAATATGAATCAAAATTATTTATCCAAACAGTTACGTGTTGTATTTCATGTTTCACGCAGCAGAAACAGTTTAAGTTTTGGTGAAAAGTTTGGTGTTTACAGGCTCAGCTCAAGCTAGCCGCGCTAACAGGTAAAATAACGGTTACCTGGGCCGCCATGACTCTCTGCCTCTCGGCTATCAGTTTACACTTGGGACACTGGCAGTCCTTCCAGTTGCAGAAGCGCTTGTGTCCCTTCAGGGGAGACACGTAGCCGTGGTTCCTACAGCGGGAGCACTTGGGCATCCTTGGGGGTTTCTGGCCTTTGGATGGGGAGAGAGGTGCGGTGGACTCCGGCACCTGCTTGCTCTGCTTGTCCTTGCTCATGGCTGCTGTAAATAAAACAACAAAACCCAGGAGCGACGGCGGTTTAAGACTTTTTAGCTACTATGTCTGCGTTTGTCCCAGCAGGCTCGGCTGGTAAAAGCCTGTACTGGTGCCAGACTGGAGGCTATAAGGTCACCGTCCTTCCCCGCCCTGCTGCTGCTGCTGCTGCTGCTTTTTTTTGTGCTTTTTTTAAAAAACTTCTTCAAAACTGCAGTGGGAGGAAACAAGCTGGGAGCGGGGGAGAAATCTGGGAGGACAGTGGCATCACTTTGCTGCACTCTGATTGAAATGATTAATAAAACATACTTTTGTTGTTTGTCTAAACTCCATTTGTTCCATGTGAAACCCTGTTTTTTTGTTGCTGTACCCCTATTGACCCCAGTCACCAAGACACCAACCAGTAGTACAATAGAGCTGAAATAAGTTGATTTATCAATTTATCAGCTGACCGAAAATTAACTGGAAACTCATTGTTAAAGTATGTCTTTAATGGGTAATCAATAATGAAATGTTTATAATGGATTAAAGAACATCTGCACAATCTGAAACCTCCCCTCTCAACATGCTGTGTCAGTGTGTGTAGCTATAACTTTGGGTTTTAGACCATTAAAGAACATTACTTCTGTCATAGTTTTGTAAGTGTTCATCATGGCATAAGACAAAGGTGGAAAACCACCTTACTCTAGCTGCGCTGAGGAAGCTCCACTGTACCACTATATCTCATTATACATACATACATCTTTAAAGTTGTTCATTTGCAGCATTTATACTTTAGCCTGTGCCATGCTGCATTCTTCGCCAGGGCTATGATGGTTGAGGTTGAAAGAAAGTATAAGAAAGTACAACCGATTTAAATTTTCTGTCTATAATCTTGTGAACATTTTATACTTGAAACAAAAACTCGTGGTTTGATATTAGTCCTAGTATCTGCACACTCCATCTTGTCCACCATTTACAAATCTTGCTTGTTGACATGAAATGGTTGTAAACAACTCGTTACATCAGATTTGAAGAACTGTCTCAATTCCTCTTGTCCCTTCTTGGGCCTAAGGTGATGGACCCCAGGGAAGTTTGATATGTCCTCATGATGTACTCATAAATATTTAGAGAGTTAATCTAATTGGATTCCCATGAAAGACACAGTTTGATTACATTTCAGTTTACAAAGTCAAAATATCACCGTACCTCCCTACAGCAGCTAGTATTGTCTATGGTACTCAGTTTATAACAGCCAGTGACATTACCCCCCCCCCCCAGGCTAGCTTTGCTGTAATATCTGAGTAGCATCCCACTAAAATATATTTACTGTAGCTCTTTTTCGTGGCGGCTGATATGCTACACGGTGAATTAATTTACTAGGCGTGACTGAGCTGAAACTGAATTAACCTCCACACCGGTCAGTCAGTCAGCCGAGTGGATTTATAGGCAGGGAGTGAAGCGTGGTGAAACACACAGGCACCCAATTAAAATTTCTGCAGCCAAATGGAGGAGGGATGAAAAGTTACCAATTAAAAAGCAGGCTGCAAGTCATTGGCTCAGGTCCTGGTGCTGAAAGCTAACTGAAAGCAGGGTTACACACTGAGTTTAATTACCTTTATAGCATTAGGTAATACTGATAGATTGTTATGCAGTAATAAAGTATGCAGTTTAAAACATTTAACATTTCTATTAGTCTGACTCCTCCTCTCCAAGCATGGCCAGTAACAGGTTGTAGAATGATGCAGCACATAAACAAGAGTTCCTATTTTCTCTCAATAGCTGACATTTAGTGACAAGACAGTGTACTCTATCACACCATCCAGGGGAGCCACTGAGCTGGGTGGGCAGAAGGTCATGGCTACACCGCTGTGTAGGTGGCTCAATTTCATAATAAGATAGATAGATAGATAGATAGATAGATAGATAGATAGATAGATAGATAGATAGATAGATAGATAGATAGATAGATAGATAGATAGATAGTCAAATCAATCACAAAACAAACAAATAATTACAAATCTAGAATACTCAAATAAAACTAAAACAAGATGGATAGATACATACATACTTTATTTATCCCCTAGGGCAAAATTAAATAATTAATGGTAGTGAGGGTTAGTATTTTGTAGATCATTTGCTTTATTATAAGTAGCAGTACCTAATCATAAATACACAATTACAAGTAAAAGGGTCCATGCAAGAAGTATAATTCTTCTGCAGTTCTTCACGTTGTATAATGAAAAATGCCAGTTTAGGGGGTACTGCCGAATTTTATTGTCCTACTTGTGCTAAATGCAAATGTGTGTTGACGTTTGTGAGCTCGTTCTTCATTAGCCGATGCTGCCTAAATGCTGCTAACGCTTTCTCTGTGTTAATGTCCCATTAAATGAAGACGTGCAACTCAATTCAGTGCACCAAAGCTTTCATTTATTTGTAAATTAATTGAATGTATTCACATATGTTTTTATTCGTGAAATTTGTGTGTAGATCCGATTTATATTTGCAAGATATTTTTGTTGGTTTACAAATGTATTTTTTGTATTTGTGGAAGCTGTTTTATATTAACAGATCACACATTTACTCACTGATTGTCAGTCATTTCACATAAATAATATTGAGATAAAATCTACCTCCATACCCATCCCTCTTTCTCTTCATCTGCACAACTTTTCACATCTCATCTCCCCTTCTCTCCTTCATTCTTTTCCTCCCTTTCTCACTCACTCCTCCCTTTCTACTCTCTTCTTCACTCTTCAAATCCAAACTTCCTCTTCTGTCTTCTTCTCGCCCATTCTCCACCCCTCTCTTCCTGGTTCTTCAGCACATATTCTTCTCTTAACTTCAGCTTATCACTTCTTTCCATTCCTGCTTCCTCTCCTGGTCCATAGGTTAGGTTGTCCTGTCCTGTCCCTGCTCTATCACTCATATTTTCCCTCATGGCTCGCCCAGCTCACCAAAAATAATAATATAAATGGCTATTTCCCGAGTACAGTACTAATAGAGTTCCATTAATTTGCCGGTCCAGTCAGAGAGACTGAGAGGAAATGACATCAAGTTGAAGTTATAAATATAAATAATGTTATAATAAACTTCATACAAGCTTCAGGGCTTTTGGGAAAACATCTGGGGCTGGAGAAATCACAAGATTACTTTTATTTATTTTGATCCTGAAGTACAAACTGACGGATTCAGCTGGCTGTTTGTAACTGATTTGCAGCAGCAAACACTTAACAGTGAAACCAGGACAGGAATCACGTAAGGAGCAAAGAGCAACAATGAAATGTATTAAACTGAGAATCCTAAAATGTTTTTTAGCTTTTTGCCGACATCTAGTGGCCACATCATTGTTTAAAAAAAACCCAAAAAACTATGCAGTTAGACTGTAACAAGAAGGACCTAAGGTGATGTGAGGGTGTAGAATCACAGTGCTAAGTGTTTTTAAATGTTTGCTAAATAGGAACATTTGTGCCTGATAATGGGGTCATGTGGGTTTTGTCTATTTTAGTAAATCACAGTTTTTTTTAATGCATTAGAAGATGAGTTACAGATAAATGTCTTTTCTTTTGCAACCAAACCATGCCTGTTTGCTATTTCACAACTGATACACATAGAAATAATTAGTGTTTAACAATCATTACATCGTTTTGTGTTTTTGTGCTTCTTCTCTTGAACACCTCTAGTCATGTCAAACTTCACGTTGGTTACAAAAGATGTCAAATACTTTCTTTTAGCCAAGTTTTCACAGTGAGAAACTAGAATCACCTCCTCGCGGTTGTCTGTCTCTGCCACTCAGACTGGTTTCAGGTGACATCCCTGTTTGTCCAGAATCATATAAAATATGAACCATTTGTGTTGTAAGTTTGTCATAATTGCTGTGTGAAGTCTTGAGTAATTGCTAAAAAAGTGTTTGAGGTCACTGTCAGCTTGACCTTTGACCTTTGACCACCAAAGTCCAATCAGTTTGTGCTTGAGTCCAAGTGAACATGTGTGCAAAATTTGAAGAAATTCCCTCAAGGTGTTAGCGATATTTTGTAAGGTCCGCAAGCCCTTGACCTTTGACCTTTAGCCACCAAAATCCCACAACATCAGCAAAAAAGTATTAAAACATTGATTTCACTCCCATGAGTAAAACTGTTATCTTTATACAGAAACACTTTCAAAACCAGGATTACGACATGCTTCACAGCTGCTAAACAAAAAATGACTGAAAACCCTTTTAGATAAATATTTAAACCAAACACAAGCCATATTTCATACAAGACATGATATAGTGACACTGTTTTCCTGCTTAAAGCTCAGACGCTCCACAGTAAATAATGTATTAAGTCACTAATATAAATGGAGTGGACAAAATATTAGTAACACCTCTCAGTATGACACAAAACTGTTCAACAGCAGCAGCCTCCATAAGTTATGAATTGAACCTTTATTTAGAAAGTCATGATACATTAGAGCTACATTATCTCTTTTTTTTTTACGAGAGAGAGAGAGACACCTGGCTAAAAGGAGCAGATTAATGACGCATAAAAAACACACAATTCATAGTTTTAAAATTTTCTTTCAAAAATGTTTCTAATTCTCTAAAGACACATACATGAGACAACACCTGAAACCTACAAATCAGCACATTCACATGGTCGCAGCTTGTCTCCACAGCTTGTCTTGTTTTTTTTTTTATGTAAATAAAACACACACCAGTCGAGCATCCATCCGTTTAACACATATAAATGAAATTGAATTAACACCTTCCAAAGCATTTTCAACAACATTTGAACTTTAAACCTTTGTGAAGGTAGGATTTACAGTACCACGGGGCTGCGCTGGATGGCATTAGTTTTGGGGAGGTGTACCTAATAAACTGAGTGCAGATTTTAGGAGAAATGACTGTAAATCATGGTGGTTTCCTCGTCTGAGTCTGCAGGAAACTGAAACCTCAACTAAGGGGTTAGAAAGACACGCAGCAGAGCGTGAAAAGAAACTGAACAGAGAAAACATAGAGCGCTAAGAACAAGAGCGAAATGTCAGAAGTCAAAAAAATAAAAAAGACAGAATCAGAGACATAAAAATGAGAATTTAAGGAAATAATGAAGAGGAAGTGGGTGAGGAGGACAGAAAAGGCAATTAAGGTTAATGAAGTTTGTCTGAGACATTGCCTTACATAGAAGTGATTACCTTAAAAATTATGATTCACTGTCATAGATTATATACCAAGAAAAATTTAAATTAACAAAAAATTTACTGGCAACTATTTTAATGAAAGTAATTTTAAAGTAAAAATGTCAAACCCCTCATGTTACAACTGCTTATTTGTGAAAGTTTGCTGCTTTTCCTATTATTTATTTTAATAATTTGAAATAATTGGCCGGTAAAAAAGAAGCTATTGTGACAGTCATTTCTTTTCACTGCTCTTACAAGGAGAGCTGGTGTTTTTCTGAAAGCTTTGTGTGCTTGTTTCACTTTCAAGTTCACTCAACTCTAGGGGTCATAGTTGATCTAAACTTCTTAACTGCCGCTGTATTGTAGTCACGTGACCTGCCCGTTATCTGGCCTCTCCTCGTGCTGAAGTCGTTTCTGCCAAAGTAGGTTTCCGTGTTTGGATGAATATAGTTGGGGGGGTGGGGGGGTGGGATGGAGAATGGGAGGAGAAAGTAGAGGAGGGGAGTGGAGTAGTAGGAGGAGGAGAGGCGGTGGGAGGTGGGAGGAAGCCTGGAGGAAAACATTAGCTCTCGTTACTCCCTCGTAGTTGGGAGAGTTTCTTGGTTGTTGATTATTCCCCGGATCGCAGCCGGGACGCGCCGCACGAAGCCAGGACGCACGGTAAGAGGGACGCGCCGCCGCCTCGCTCTTTACTGACCTTGTGGAGGGGGTGGGAAAGGGTGGGGGGGTCGAGGTGAAGCTGAGTCTGGGGGTTTGACAGGCTGAGATGGTCTTTGACGGAGAAAGGGAAGAGGTTGAGGAGAAAGAGCGAACAGGAAGCTGAAGTGAATTGCGTCTCCTCACTCTCTGCCCTCCGGGGACTCCTCCACCAGGAAAGTAGCGGAAAGAATGAGGAGGCAGAGGGAGGCTGCTCAGGCTTGGGTCTGGGAAACTAAAAAACCTCAGCTCCACTTTGTTTTCTTTTCCTTCTCACAACCAAATGACTTTCACCGCTGGTCCTTCACAACAAAGCGGCTCAGTTTGTGTTCAGTGCGTAAAACTTCTTAAAAACGTGTCTTTTTCTTTCAACTTTCTGTGCGCGAGTGACTTTTTTTCCCTGATCACAGTGTGTGTTGTTGTGTTTGTGATGGTATCACTGCAGGATTGGTCATTGTTGTCAAGACGTGATGTAATTTCTCTCCGCTTTTTTTGTTTCGTATCTTATAAATAAAAGAAACGGTGCTATATTAATCCGAATAATGAAGATAAGGATGATGCTTATCAAAACTATTATTGTAGCCTACAGATAGGTGACAGTAAACTTTGCGGTTTGTTAGTGATGTCATTGATGAGTGATAAAAACTTGTAGGCAGTGAAGTACTTTCATATCCTGTTACTGATGATAGAGATAATTTCCTACTCATAGCCAGACATTAAAGCAGCGTCATGATGCTATAATGTGGAGTACTATAAGGAGTCCTCCGCTCTACAACACAGGTGTGTATTAAAGAAGTAGGGGGCTTTGAGATATCTTAAATGGGGCATTAGGGTTCATCCTCAGGGGAACATGAAGGTACAAAAATGTGATGCCAATCCATCCAGTAGACGTTGAGATATTTCACAGGATAAGAGAAGATCTGACCTGCTGCTGGCGCTAGTGTAAAGGTCAGGGATGGACATAAGTCGTTAAGATTCATCCTCTGGGGGACATGAATGCCTGCAGAAAGTTTCATGTAGTTGTTGAGATGGTTCAGTCTGAACCAAAGCGGTGGACCAACAGACGGATGGACTGACACTCCGAGAGCCGTGCTGCTAAATCAGGGTAAACAAACGGAAGAAGTAACAAAGATGGAGACAGAAAGTGAACATGACAAACATACGTGAGGTCAGAACTCCGTGTGGAGACGTACTTCACAAAAGAGACATAAAATGAGAAACGAATGACAGATTGTGTGTGTGTGTGTGTGTGTGTGTGTGTGTGTGTGTGTGTGTGTGTGTGTGTGTGTGTGTGTATTACAGCTCTTAATCAGAAACTTCTAAACTGAACGTTGACAGTGACAATATCTGAAAAGGTCACGTAAGGCAATTCCTTGAATTTGATCTCGATCAATAACTTTTGCTCGCGCTCAAATTAATTTACCGTGGGCCAAAATCCAAGTTTGTGTCTCAGCTTGAAGGTCAGTGGTTCCTGGACTGATATGCCGGAGTGGCAGAGAGTCTTTATGGAGATTATGAACCTTAAAAGGTCGATCAAAATGTCAGGGTGTTATCAGGTAAGACGAGAGGAGGCGCGGCTTTGTGGCCTGAGAGGTCAGGTGAATAATTCAGAGGTCAATTGTTCGGGCCTTTCGGTGCAACGCTCCGGGCTCTTGCTCAAAGCGCAGATCCTGCATTGTGCCCTTGTGTCATAACTGCATCTCACTTTCTTATTGTTGCTTTGTTGATGTCCATCATCAGCAGGGAAAAAAAGGTCTACGCTTACCTCTCTGTGCATACATCTCTATTCACACATGCATCAGAGTCAGAAATAATGTTCTCAAAGGCTGATTTCACCCAGGCATGAGTCAGAGAGAAAAGAAAGAATAAGACACACAGTAAAACTTCCTCTTTCACTCACAGAAGCAGAGAAAACTCATTAATCAGTAATCCACAGGGAAAACACGTCCTCTTTGTTCAATTTAGCTAGTCGGTTAGATTGACGCTGATTCTGTGGTCAGCTGAACAAGTTGTGAGTGACAGGTACAAGGAACAATGAAATCTGATAAGTAGGAAATGACTATAATAGCAGCCTTCAGGGCGTCAGGACCCCGTTCGGGCTGCAGTACGGCTGCCTGCTGCTTTTTTTGTCTTCTTGGCAAACAAACAGTTCAAAAATAAACTTCAGCTTGAATTTACAGCAGATTTTTGCATTGAAAGGAGCTTTTTGTTGTAATAATCTGTTGGTTGGTGGTGACAAAGAAACGTTTCCTGTCACAATACAAGTCAGGATGAATATGTAAATGCGTCACCATAATTGTGTGTTTAAATTAAAATGATGGAAAAATCCGTAGTAAAAGGATCGGTATCATGCGCATGTGTATAAAAATAGCTTCAGTGGCTGCTCTCTGTAAAGTTAATGTTTATCGGCTTCTTGTGACTGAGGTTGTGGGCTGAGGCTCTGAATTAGCGGAAAAACAAACTGGCCAAAACTAATATGGTCTTTGTGGTTCAGTGGCACAGAAAACAGTGGAACAGAATGGGGCATAGGCAGCCACCAAAGTCAAAACCAAAAGCTGTGAATTAGCTCAGACGTATGAATGTTATTGGCTCATGAGTTATTCACCATTAAAGACCTGCTCCGACTGACTGCACAAACAAATGATCAATAATAGGGATACTAAGCATAGCAGGCATAGCTAACCCTTAGTTTGTATTTGCACTGCTTGTTCACTTCCTATTTAACAATCTAAATCTTATATGTTTTAGAGATATAAAACTTGAGGTTATATATTTATTTGTAGGGTGGCACGATATGTGAAAAAATCACATTGCGATTGTTATTTCAGTTGTAGTGGTTGTTTTTGCATTTTCATTTTCACAGTAAAAAAATATAAAAATTTGTGATGATGACACACAAATATGTTTCTTTTACGTCTGGAGAATATAATTTGTAGGTTGGGGCGTCTCTTATGGTGCTAACCATGCACAACAACGTCACACATTTTAACCTTTATCAAAGCAATTGCAGCTCCTGTGATTTGGATATTGCAAATTGCATATATTGTGATTTTCGATTATATTTCGATCAGTTGTGCAGCCCTGTTTTTTTTTTTTTGTCAAACAGAATTTCACAATAGTGCTCCTCGTTAGTCCCGTTCTATCTTCTTCTATCTTTGCAGATGATGAGTTTGTGTTTGTGATTAGTTTAGTGTTTTACCCAAATCCAAACAGTACCTTTCTTCAGTACCTTAGTTTTTACAGGAAATGTTAAACGTGGTCAAACACAAGCAGCTGAACAAATGAAATAGTAGAAAATTGATGATTGATTGATTTGGACACCTTTTTGTCCTCAGTGTTTTGCAACACTTCACATACATTTTGGTTAAAAGCACATCGGTTTGACCTTCTTTATACCACCCATCTGACCTGTATGTGGTTTGGGTTTGCAGAAGCAGATATGGCTTTTATATTTGCGCAGTGGAGCAGAACATCGTGTGTAACACTGTTCATAGATTTAGTTTTACTGGATTTGATATTAAAACCAAATCTGCGTTCTGTAATGGAGGAGAAAGTCTGACACGGCAATGTTTTTGATGCACAGAGTTGCCAGATTTCCCAGGACAAAGCTTGTGAATGTGATGTTGAGCTTGGCCTCTAGATACAGATCCCAGTCCCAACTAAAGGTTTGTTCAGACAGAAAGAAAACCGAATATTTGTTTCATCAAACAAGCTTCTGACTGAGCTCCGGCCTCACCTGAACCTTTTGATCCTTCTGTTATTTCTATCCTGTCTCCTCTTCTTTCCTCTGGCCTTGTATGTTTATGAAGCAGGTTCCTTCATTTCCTTGGTGTGTGACGAGACCAATACTCAGAAATGAAAGAGGAACATGATTTTCCCACCCTTTTTTCTTGTGGACTTTCTGCAGCAGTTTGTGTCCCTCTGCAAAAAAGTGGGTTTCTTATATGACACCTTTCAACTGGGCAGACCCACGCCGCAGACCAAAGACCCCGAGCTCAAGATGCCACGGTGTGAGCTGCATGTGCAGATGTGTTTGAACTGTGTGTGGGTGAAATCCCTCTGCAGAGTGAAAGCTTTACACCTCTCTGTACTGACCTAGATACACCTTTTACTTAACTTAACAATACATGCAGGCGGTTTACAAAAGAATCACCAGTCGTTAACTTATCTGTTTGCTTTCTTACAGACCACTGCGTTCAGTGGTTTAGCGCCTTGCCCATGAGCACATTGAAAGTGATTTACTGATAGTATTTCAAGCCCTTCATTGCAGAGGAGTTGGTTTTGAAATACCAAAGAGACTAACTCAGATCACCAACCTCACTGATTCCTGAAGATGTAATGAGGTAATTAATCTTTAAGCTGATGAACTGCCCGCTGCAACTGTTGATCATGACAGGGAGTTATAGGTTCAGCACACAGCTGAGTGACCTGTCACTGTAAACCATTCATGAACAGAACTACTTTAAACACAAGGTATTCCTGTGCGGTTAAATATATATAAGTGTTGGCAGCTTGGTTGAACAGATCATGGTCCTACAGATGTGTGTGCTGGGCAGCTCATACTGTGTTTCAGCACTGATGCCAAAACTATATCTCTTCTTAAATTAGACAATATAAGCTGAAGAGTAGAGCTGAAGTGATGAGTTGATTAACATTTATTTAGCAATTATTTTGATAAACATATTTTCAAGTAAAATTTCAGTTTCTCAGTTGTTGATATTTTCTGTTTTATTTGTCTCCTGTGATGCTGAATCAAATAAAGTTAGGTTTTTGTGTGGTGAATGGTGAATAGTGAGACAAAACAAAATATTTTAATATGGCAACTTGGGTTTTGAAAAATTATGATCAACTTTTTAAAATTTTCTAAAAGTTGGATACACAGCTTGTTCACAGTCACGAATTTAATATTTTTTTTATCTAAGATCAAACATTTTTAACTCCCACTGACACCTCTTCCCCACATA